AGCTGCCATAGCTGCAACTCTTGCGTCATCAGAACAGGGTGTTCAACGCACCACCGTTTTCGTTTAAAAAACGTTTTGCACCGTTTTTGTCGCGGCTGAAGGCAGCCCAGTTCTTCCGCAGTATCACGCAGCAGAGTAATAGTCCTCCACTGCTGCAGTTGTACGATTAATAACCCATTTTATCAATTTCATATTTTTCTCATCAAACAGACTAATGAATAGCTCGACACAACTCGTACATGGGCAGAGTCTAGACAGGTCTTTCTTCTGTGTAGACCAGCGGTTCTTAAAGTGATAGGGGGTCCAAGAAATAATTTGCTATAGCCTAAAGTATTTCCAGAAGGCACGGTTTGATCTTCGGCTGACCAATCAGCAGAAAGGGGCGTTTAATTCCCGCCCACGTTTAGAAATCAAATATTCAAGCTGTTTATTCATTTTCCCACCCATGAACGAAAAACGAAAATTTAAGCTGAATTTTCGTTTTTCGTTTTTTGGAAAAAAAAAAAAAAAAAACGAAAAAGGAGCCGCATTCTAATTTTTCTACTTTCAATATTAAATCAAAAAACGAATGATCGAATGATACACGGATTCTACTGGACAACGTAATTATACTTTAGTTTTAATTGTACTCACATAACGCAGCCAGTCTACTCTCCACTAAATACCGTTTTTCTACAACAAGCTTAATGACAGAGAAACGTTTAATACTTTGCATTTTGTGAGTGAAGAGCAATCTTGGTTTGCCAACGGCAGATGTCGCCATCTAGTGGACTCTATACAGCACAACACGAATTCCATTATATACATTTATATACATTATATACATTTCTAAATCAAGTCATGAGAACCATAAGAAATTTCTTCAAAACAGCACATATAATTTTTATTTCATCCTTGGTGGCTAAAATCCCTGATGGAAAAAAAATCCATTCAGTGTTACAGGTTGTTTAGTGTATGACCACTGTGGCGTAGTCAGTTCCTGATTCAAACTTCACTACAGGAGCAGAGTTTTCACCAGCACCTGAATGATTCACTGTGGCATATAATAGCTCATCCTCTACGGTCTGCGGAAAACATGTTGAAATTAAACATTACAAATTAGTATTTCTCAAAATCATGTTCATAAAAACATTCATAACGGCAGAGAAATGCATTTTTTGACTGATATGTAGTTATGTATGACTGTATGACTTTCTCACATGTTGTTTTAATTATCATTTCAAAAGTAATTAAATAAATCAATAAAATATGTACCTCTGTTTTCTCTTCCTGCACTTCAACAGTACCAGAATTTGCATCTTGGTTGTCTAAAAAAGAGAATTTGTCATGAATTTTATGTTTTCTTTAAATAAAAAAAATCACACCTCAACATCATACCAATCATGACCTCAGAATTGTCCATTTACTAAAAAAACCACAGTGAGGTGCAATGCAAGTTTGTACTGGTATACAGAGGTTATAAGCATTTCTGCTTATAAAAATATCCAAACTCACTCACCATTGTCCATTACTTGAGTTCTGTAAGAAAACAAAACATAACATTTAGAGAATCGTAGGTTTATACCAAATATTTTAGCTGAATAATATGCACTGACCTTGCTGGATGAAACTTTTGTCTATACCCTTAAAAAAAAAAACGAATGAATGAATAAATACATTTTGTAGACTACTGAAGACATTGGGCAGCAACTATAAAAAATGTTGTTAAAATATGTTAATTATTTCATGGTTGGTGGTTATAAAGCAGGTTAGGATTATAGAATTATAATATAGGGTTAAAGATATAAGTGTGAAATTATTCTTTGACATACATAACCAGAATTACACAAGAGAATGCTGTGTTTGCGGTTTCTTACCTTGTTCTTTGGTCACATAGATAATACATAGGATGATGGAGATGAGCAAAGAGAGCAGAATCAGTGTCCCCAGGATAACCAGAAATATAAGAATGTATTTACCAGAAAGGGCTAAAGATGACAACAGATAAGCAGTTTAAAATGTTGCATCTGTGTAGATAAAGAAATTTTTTTTTAAAAGTGTTTTATTACATTACAATGGTTTAAAAAAAGCAATTTACATATCCTCCACACTGTAATGGTGACATTTTGGCTCATTTTGTTGTCAGCTTTGAGTTCACAGTGGACGATAATTGTTGTTTGGAGCTCCTCTCCAGCTTTTCCCTGTAACAGTTGCTCTCCACTGACAGTAAGTTTACAGCAATTGTCAGAGGAATTTTGCTGACCAATGTTTCTTGAATCAGCATAGAAAAAGCACATAGCCTTGTCCCAGTGACAGCATGTCAGATCCGTCCGGTCGCTGAGAGTCATCACTCCAAGCCCAGCATTGAAATCTGTATAGGGGTAGCCCGTTGAATGAGGGATTGAAAATGTTAACAAATACATAATCTCATGCACATAATAACAACTAACCCTCAGGAACATGAGCACTTATACTGTACATATGGGTCATTCCTGGGATTTGGTAATATTTCAGTACCCTGGAGTTTCTCAAGTGGTGGTTCACCAAAATGAATTGTTAGCTTTTCACAAAACTTTGGTATGCCCATTATAACGAATACAAATAATTAATGCATTTTAATATTTTTTGGCATAAAATAATGTCTTAAAGGGGTCATATGATGCGATTTCAAGTTTTCCTTTCTCTTTGGAGTGTTACAAGCTGATTGTGCATAGATAAGATCCCTGAAGTTGCAAAGACTAAAGTCTCAAAACCAAAGAGATATTCTTTATAAAAGTTAAGACTCTGCCACGCCCCCCTAAAACGGCTCATTCTAACACGCCCCCACATATCTACCCCACTATGTGGAAATATTTGCATAATACACAAAATAATGATCTTTAAAAAAGCAGCATATGACCCCTTTAACAAAATGTGCATATTGTCTGTGATTTTTGGCAATAATGTAAGCATGCATTTGTGTTCCTTTCTTGTGAAAAATATTTCCTTGAAAAACAGTCTGAACTCAACCCCGTCACACTAACCATTCTGCGCCCATAATAATTTATACTCCACTCATTTGTGACATAATTTACCAAAAATGACATCATTCAGGTCTCTTTAATAGTGGTGCAGAAAATGGTAGTATCATACTTTTTATTCATATTTTTGAGGCATATTATAGTCAGGGATGGTACTGTCAAGCTTAACAGCTCAACCCCGTCACATAAAATTAAGATAGAAAATGATTATTTTTCAACATTTTATTTGAATCCATAAGTATATACAGTGTACATATTTTATTGCTGCCATATATATTCTACTCTCCTACACTACATGAGAAGCAGTGGCCATTTTGAGAGAAAAACCACAACCCCATCACACTCAGCACCGTCATAAATATATGTATTCCTCATTGTTACGGGGTTGTAAACTTGTGACAGGGTTATTTACTTCATTTATTAATAATTTTAATGAAAAACAATAGTCATGGTTTCAGTAAATATATACTTACCAAAAGCATGACAACTCATCATTTGGTTATAAATAGAATTTTTGATGTAATATGTCCACTTAAACTTTGACATACATCAGAAATTGCACCCACATTTGCAGCAGAAAGACAATGTTGGGCATGCAGATGTGTTGACCCAGAAAGAAGGGGACAATATGACAGAGAAATAAAACCGAAAATTAAAATGGAAGGCAATGTATCCCTCCAAATGTGTTACAGTCTTCAACCCTGTCACACCTTGTCACATTAATATTTTTGGAAAAATATAGGGAAGACAATTAAGAATGAAAGCATTTCTTGCTGATTACCATTTGACATGTTAAGGACTAAAACAACAAAATTGTGGTTTGAGTTAAACTTCTAAATTTAAATATATTTTTTACAAAAATAAAGAGACCATAGACTAGGGATGTAACGATTAACCGCGAGCCGGTTGAAAATCATTCAAATATGTGACGATTCAAATCGGTTGAGATGCTAAACAAATCGCGATTCATTTAGGGGTAGGAGTTTATATGAATGTATGTCTGAGGCGAACTTACTGTCTTTAGAAAAGTTTAGATGGCATTATTTTTCTCTTCATCTTGCCTCTGTATAATGCATATTAAAGTTCATAAGTGCAGCGCTGCTTTGTTTACAGCGGAAGCTAAGGAACTTCTTTAAGGGCCACCTGCTGGCAGAGAGTGAATCTGCGTCTCATTCAGCTCGTCTGCTGTTTGTTTCATGCAGATATTTTTTATGTATAGTTTCACAAAACTATATTTATAGTTTTATTTCAATATTTCAATATTTATTATAGTTTTATTTCAATATTTTATATTTTTATAAGTCCAACCATTTTGTTTTTGCGTCAAATTTCGAAATTATACAATGTAATTTAGATTTAAAAACTGCTCATGTTGCATATTTGCAGCATCTTTGTTTGGATCATGATTAAAATGCAGTGGTTGCCTCTAATTTTAAATGGAAAGAGCACAGACAAAGCCTTAGTTTGTTTATATGAAGATTTTTAAAAAAAAAAAAAAGTGAATCGAATGGAATCGTGACAGCAAAATCGTAAATCGAATCGAATTGCGAGTTGAGTGAATCGTTACATCCCTACCATAGACACACAATTTGTGCATTTGTAGCTTTAGTCCTATAAAAAACGTGAAAGATATGATAACTGTTACATTTATTCTGTCTAAAATCCTTTTTAAACCAATCCCATTTTGTCCGTTACAGGGTTGAGAAAAAAAGTTGTCTAAATCTGAAAAAAACGTAAAATAATAAAAGGGTCTTTAATGCCTGAGGCGGGAAAATATGATTTTTTGGAGGTTTAATATGCGCCTAATGATGTGGAGCATTTAGAAAATGAATCATAGTTGGAAAAAAAAAGTATATTTCAAGTTTAAACGTTATATATATATATACATATGTATATATATATATATATATATACATATGTATATATATATATATATATATACATATGTATATATATATATATATATATACATATGTATATATATATATATATATATACATATGTATATATATATATATATATATACATATGTATATATATATATATATATATACATATGTATATATA